GCGACACCGTATACGGAGGTGTCCTGTGATTTTAATCCGAGCGCAACAACTGTAGTTTCGACTATTTTGAATTATTTATTTCAGTTATTAGGTACTGTGTGATTTTTATTGTGTTTTCTGGATAATTTCGTAACAAAATGGTTGGATCTTATTATGTAGTTCATGAATGTGATTCCAAAAATGGCAGCGGAATGAGTCTTTTTGCAGTCAAAGGCATATAATTTTAAATGCAAAATAAAAAATGTACTCCCTTACTAAAAACATATTTAGAGTTGAGCAGTGTAAATTACAAATTTCCGCGCGATCGCGTGACTGCGAGCCAATTCAGCTTGCGTGCAGTGTAATTGTGGTGTCTTCAAGGTCACCGCAAATCGATCCCACAAACGTCAAACGTTCCGACAAAGCTCTCGCTTCTCGGCGTTTTGTTATTCTCGGGTATTATCGCTAAACATATATAAAGAAATGAAGAGTTTGAGGATTTTCTTATGGACCCACTTATTAGATTTTGAAAAAATTTATATGGGACCACCCCTGAAATGCCCCCTTTCTAACAAAAAAAGAATCATTGAAATCGGACACCGTGTTAAAGAATTATCGCTGAACATACATAAAAAAAAATATCGCGACGAATTGATAACCTCCTCCTTTTTTGAAGTCGGTTAATAATAATAATAATAATTATAAACTCTTTTTAGACAATTCTTTTAAAACATAATCATAGTAGTTTTTTTGTCGTTTCTATGGCAACCTGTAAAAATGAATCACAACAATAGGCATACAAATAAATTTTAAAATCAGCAAAAATTGATTCATATTTTTAATGATATTTACTTACTAATCGTGGATAGATGTTTCTGTGCGATGTTAAGAAGAAGAAAATGTTTCCCTTTAAAAATTATATCAAGATATATTTGAATATGTTATTTTCTGGAAAACAATTTTTTTAACCACTTTGCTCATGATTGGGATTGGCACAGGTGCCATTCGGTAAAGTACAATGTTTTTACATGCTTTTGGGGTTTATTTCATTTCATTATCAGATGACTGTAAAAATTTGCAGTGGGCTCTTGGGATATTATGATTTGATTCTGTATGCGCCAGGGATACAAATCCGAGTCGCGCAATGTATAAACTATAAACTGGAACATTGAGATCAAAAGTGTCGAGGCAGGTGAACTGATTCTTTAGCTATAAACTATGACGTCAACTAATGCATGATACAGTATCTTCATAGAGGTATTTTTTAAAGTAAATTAATTTAAAAAGTGTATTTCTTAAAGATTTTATTATAGTGTTGTTTTGAAATTTATAGTAAGCTGTTTTCCTTGAAAACACTATTAATTGAGTAAGGACGTCCTTAACTTTTTTTTAATTTAATCAGCTTGATAGAAGACAGCGGTATCATCCGCAAAACTTATGATGTTGCCAGAGCTACTAAACCTTAAAATTAGTACTTGAAAAATGATTTTGACTTTTGGTATCTAAAAACCACATATAATTATTGACTTACGTAAGAATTTTCTTTAAAACCAATATTTACATGTTTTCTTTCCGTTACAACCCCTACAACTAATACAGGAAAATAATTACCTTCAAAATATTGTTTTTTTCTTGAAATCTAGGTTTAAAATTTTTTTTATGAAAACACAATATATTTTGCATGTGATATAGATATATTATGTGACATAGCGGGATGTAACAAAGTTAAAAACATTTTTAAATATTTTTTCCTTTAACGATTTTGTAAAAAAAAAGAGAAATATTTCAGATAAACATACTTTGATTACTATACGAGGCAAGAGAGAGGTCCGACACGCCCAACATAGGGCGCAGCCATTTTGAACCCTGTGACACAGTTTACAGCTAAAGAATCAGATCGCTCACTCTGCGTCGGCACTTTGGATCTCAATGTTTCAGTTTATACACTGTGCAACTCGGATAATACAATATATGACAACCGCCTATTCGCTCCGTGCGCGACAGCAGCGCCAATTTGTTTTGGTATTAAAGGAGTATTTCTGCCTATACTGACAAATACAATTTTTAATAGAATTCGTAAATAAAAAGTATATATGTTAGTTTTAATAAAAGTATATGGATTTATAAAACAATTAAAACATTAATTTATTATTATTATATATTTTTCACGCTTAAATTGAAGAAAATTATGTATAATCATTAAAAATCAATAATAAAATATAGGCAGGCAACAGTATTTACTGGAAAATGTATGAGAAGTTGCCTAAGTCTAATAAGTTGTCATTGAAGAAACCATTTATAATAGCGTGAAGTTAAAATGTATAAAAATGATCGCTACTTATATTTTCATTTTTGTTCTAAAGAAAACATAGAATGAATGATTAAAACTGGTTTCCGATCAGTAAGTCACAAAATTGCATACCAGCCAAATATAATCAACGGCAGAAATCTTGAAATCTAGTCCTTGCTGAATGAACATTTAAGAATAAAGGGATATTAAAGAACATCGTAAAATGATAATTTATTGTTTATTTAAAAACTTTCTAGTTTCTGATGTCTACTATTTCCAGCATTACTGTTATTATCACAAAAATAAAGGTAATTTTTCTTCTTATTGTACACCTATCCATTTATTTCTTTGATTTAATTTCCACTTTGTTAGTGAAATTTGTTATATAAGTTTCACTGTTTTTTTTTTGCTAGTATTTGTACAATTTTCAACACAGCAACTCCGGTTGCTTATTGTGTTGTTTTTACCTACTTTTTTGAAAAAAAGTAAAATGTATACGTGTATTTGATATGCCAAAATTACAAAATATCCCCCTAAAATGCACGAATTATCCGCAGCTAGCGCTAGTATCGCTTTTGCTTCCCTTTCCATGACTTCGCACGGAGCGAATAATAAAACAGCAGTCTTCTGTGTATCCTGAATTTGTATCCCTGAAGTGGATGTTATTTTGGAACTTTCAACTGGTCCGAGTGAGCTAACTGATTCTTTAGCAATAAACTGTGTCTTCAAAAATAATATTCACTGACACTGACAGCAGCAAGCAAAATATCAGGTGCGTTTTAATCATCCGCTTCTGCTTCCGGAATTGTCGGTATAGTCGTTTTAACCTGTAAGATTAAAACAAGAAAACCGACAATTCCGAAGCAGAAGCGGATGATTAAAACGCACCTATTAAAAATATTGCGCCACACATACTTTGATTTTCTTTTACTATACGGAGAATGGTCGCACTGCGCAGCTTTCTGAGTGCCTTTTAAAAGGAGATAGAAAACTCCGCCATTTTGAACCCTTATTACGTGTTGCCTACATCTTGGCGCAATATTTTTAATAGGTGCGTTTTAATCATCCGCTTCTGCTTCGGCATTGTCGGTTTTCTTGTTTTATTCTGACAGGTTAGAACGACTGAACCGACAATTCCGGAAGCAGAAGCGGATGATTAAAACGCACCTGATATTTTGCTTGCTGCTGTCAGTGTCAGTAAATATTATTTTTGGAGTCACAGTTTATTGCTAAAGAATCAGTTAGCTCACTCGGACCAGTTGAAAGTTCCAAAATAACATCCACTCCAGGGATACAAATTCAGGATATGCAGAAGACTGCTGTTTTATTATAGGCGGTTGTCATATATTGTATTATCTGAGTTGCGCAGTGTATAAACTGGAACATTGAGATAAAAAGTGCCGACGCAGAGTGAGCGATCTGATTCTCTAGCTATAAACTGTGTCATAGGGTTCAAAATGGCCGCGCCCTATGTTGGGCGTGTCGGACCTCTCTCTTGCCCCGTATAGTAATCAAAGTATGTGTTGCGCCAAGATGTAGACAACACGTAATAAGGGTTCAAAATGGCGGAGTTTTCTATCTCCTTTTAAAAGGCACTCAGAAAGCTGCGCAGTGCGACCATTCTCCGTATAGTAAAAGAAAATCAAAGTATGTGGTCGGACCTCTCTTTTGCACCATATAGTAATTAAAGTATTTGATATTGACACTAACTTGACAATGCGCATGACATTGTCAGATATCTCCAATTTTTGTTTGTGTATTATGTATTGTAGTTAGGATTTGGTTTTGAATTTGTAAGGATAAACAAGTTACAAAAGTAATTTTAAAAAACCAACTTCAAAATCGTGCAGATGCCATCACCACCTCTTGACCAAACTTATAGGGGACCGACCACCTCTGAGTTGCCCCTTTACTAACAAAAAAAGAAAAATAGAAATCTTACAAGGACACTAAACATACATAAAAAATGAAGAGTTTGAGGATTTTCTAATGGACTGAATTATTAGATTTTGACCAAATTGATACGGGACCACCCCTGAAGTACCCCCTTTCTAATAAAAAAGAATTATTAAAATCGGACACCGTGATAAAGAATTATCGCTGAACATACATAAAAAAATATTACGACGAATTGAGAACCTCCTCCTTTTTTTAAGTCGGTTAATAAATACCTATTTGATTTGATTTGATCACGGATGAAGAGAAAATTGGTGTTGTAGTTGCTAACTGGGTTGTAGTTTCTTTGGCCTCTGAAATTTTATCAACCTTTTGCCATCATCAATATATCTTGGCTATCTTGAAAATAAATTGGCTTTTCATTTACAAAAACCTTTGCGTCCATATCTAGATACTCAGCTAGGGTTGCCACACGGCTCGTTTTAGGCATAATTGTTGGCACGCGTTACGCCAAAGTACGAAAATGCCCCACATTTTAACTAAATGTTACGTTTTTCAAATCCAAAGTTATATATAAAGAAATGTTTGACCTTTTTCCCACTTTTCCCTTTCGTAAATCTGGCAACCCTATACTCTGGTATCGATTTTACAAATAACACAATCAAACAATAATTAATAATTAAAAAGTAAAAGTTTTACATTTGTCATTTCATACCGGTGATGACCACGTTTTTACTGTAGTCATGTTTAAACTTAACCATTTCAAGACAATATTCAATATGACGTCATTGTTTTTGATTTATATCAGTGTAATCAATCATATTCAAGACATAGTATCTGATTTAAAATCGCCCTTAGTCCTCACTTCCCTGTACATTCCTGTTGACTGAAAATGTGACAACCACACTCTCTGTCAGTGTAAAATTAAGATCTGTCGGTCACGTTTTTTGAATTCTAACAAAAAAATTATTTCTCCTTTTCTCAAAATCGGACCCAATGCTGAAGAATATACTCCCAAAGATCTTGAAAAAATCCGCAATTTTATTACAGAAAATCAGTTCGAAAAAATTCTCCGATCCCATGGACCGTTTTTATTTCGACCAATTTTTGAGCGCGACTCCGGGGAAGGATAAGCAACCTCCGTTGACTTTGACCATACCCTCAGAGAATCGCGGCGACAAACAGTTTAAATTGGTCGATGGCGAAGAGAAAAGCCATCTCGAGGTATGGGCTAAAAAGGGAGACAAGACACCAGGGACCATTTGCGGTCTAGGTAAATATAAAATATATGTGTGCTCTACAACCTTCTCTCCAATATTCTCTATTCTTGACTTTCTCTTTCCAGTTTTGTATTTTAACTTTATTTACATTACACCTTTAAATTCTTTTCTTCTAGGCTGACCTATTCTTCTTTTGCCAATAAGCGTTCTGTTTAGTACCTCTTTCGTCATTTTTCCTTTATTTAATATTTTTGTGTGACCCAACCACCTTAATCTGTGTGTTTCTATTCTTGTTGTCATCTTTGCTTCTCCATGAAACATTTCTATTTCTTTGTTGATTCTCCTTCTAAAGTTTTCAGGTCTCCTTACTCCAAGGAAAATTATTGCTCTAGGTATTTTGCGCTTTTTTGTTGGGGGTCATTGTTTTACTTTCGAATGTTACGGTGGGTTTTAGAATAATAATTCTTATTACATCTTTCTTGGACAATATTTTTATTTCATCAGTGATTTTCTTAGTTCTTGAGTTTTTTTATTCTTCATGAGCAATGCTTGATATTAGTACTCCCAAATACATAAATTCATTTGTCCTTTGGAAACGGTATTCATTTTTCCTTAGAGTTTTTACTGTCACATTTTTTGCACTATTTCCAGTTTCACCAAGCTCCATAAATTTAGTTTTTTTTTTTATTTATTTGCAGCCCTAAAACTTCTGCTTGTTCTGCAAGATTTATTGAAATTTTTGTGAGTTTATTCTTTGATTATGCCAATATTGTCAAGTCATCTGCATAAGCAATGCTTTTCGTTATTATAAATAGACCTGTTAATAATAGCTTCTTGTGCTATGTTGAACCTTCCACCCATCTTACTTTGTTTTCCATCTTGGAAATATTTGATTTATATCCGATCCAGGTTAATATATTTTGTGTTCAATAGAGCAATTCTTATTAATCTTGTATATTGCATTCATAGCTTCAAAAAGTTGGAAAATGTTAACTCTATCATAGACTTCCTAAAAATGTATAAAGAAGGCATGCAATTCGGTCTTACACTCGGCATACTTATTCAGTCTGGTATTCATCAGTCTGGCAGTTTCTTTTATCTCCTTTTTTTGTGCAAAGAAATTATCAAAGCTGTATTGCATTCATTTAGTAGTTCTTTTGCGTTCTTAACATTTATCAAATCATAAATTTCGCTTAATAGATTTGTACTATTTCTTTTATTCATTTCTACTGTTTGTTTCTCCTATTTTTTCCTGGGGCTTTATTACTTTTCAGATAGTTTACGACCTTTTCTATTTCTTACCATGTTGGTTCTTCTTCGCAGTTTCGGTACCTCCCATAGTTGTTCTCATTCTGAACTGTTTCTTAATGAGTAACACGTCAAAATGATTCTTGCATCGTTCTATATCTTCTGTAGTTTCTGAGATTAGCTATCCTTCCTTTGTTGTATAATAAATATACTCTTTCTTTGTATTGAACTATTTTTTTGTTTCTTGTTAAAATATTTAAATCCTTATTTTTAATTTTTTTTCTATATTTCTTAGTTTCTTTTTTGCAGTTTCCCTTTTTTCCGTCTGCAGACTGTTTTTTATTATTTGTTATTAATATTTTTATCATGATTGTTTAGTAATTTTTTGCCCTATTCGTTAAACTAATCATTGGCTTTATTCTTTGAGTTCTTCTTTATGAAGACATTTTCATTCACTTCTTTTATTACTCTATTTATCTTATCCTATTCTTCTTTACTTCTGTTGTTTATACTAGTCCGTTTTTTAATTTCCAAACATTTTGTGTTTTACTTTTCCCCCGCCCTCTTCTCTCTTCTGTTACCTCTATTTCATATATTGTGTTTTCTGTAAGAAATGCTCAGTATATCAATATAACATATACCATGGTTTAATGATATATTCAATTAACTGACCTTTTAAGATAGAATAAATAATCCTGGATTGAACAAGAGTCTAGCGTTCACCATCGAAGAACGTCAGCTATTGGGCATCCACGGTCTTTTACCTCCCGTGGTAAAAACTCAAGAACAACAAATTGAACATTGTAAATTACGTTTGGGAAGGCTCAAAGACCCTTTGGATAAATACATTTATTTAATGGATCTGTTGGATTTCAATGAAAAATTGTTGTACGCTGTCGTGAGGAGAAACATCTCTGAAGTAATGCCCCTCTTGTATACTCCTACCGTTGGTACTGCTTGTCTAAAATGGGGTTTAATTTACAGGTAAATCATTAAGTTATACATTTCCCCATTGTAAGCTTCTCTGGAATCTACTTGAAGTAATTTTCTGTGTTGTATTTCATCAATGAAATCTTTAGACGTTACTGCTACTCGCGACTTCTGGCGTCCAAAGATTCAACTGATGCCGGTACAAAACTAAGCTATACATGTCCAGATAGAGGAAAGATATGTTGAGAAACTAGTGATATCAAGAGCGTCGTAGGAACGTTTAAAGATGTTAAGAGACTGATAGGAGCATCGCTAAAATGTTCATTCAGCCAATTTCTCAATTTGCTCGGCAGTACCTATTTACTAGTCTTCAGCAGCTGAATACTGCAACTGCTTAGGGACAATGTCTTTGGAAACTCTTTGTACAAATTTGATATATTGTTTCTTTATAGGAGACCCAGGGGAATTTACATTACATTTTATGACAAGGGACATGTTTATGAAATATTGAAAAATTTTCCGGAATCTGACGTGCGAGTGATTGTCGTCACAGACGGGGAAAGAATTTTGGGACTAGGCGATCAAGGTGCCTGTGGAATGGGAATACCTATAGGAAAACTAGCGCTGTATACTGCTCTAGGTAAGTAATTTTAATTACAGTTTATGTAAATACATATGATGTATCTAAGATACATTTAAATCATCTTTAGAAGAACATCTATTTTAAAAATCTCATTTTTGTCACATCAACAAAAACTTAATAGTTGACTATTTTTATATTTATCTTTTTAATGTCATGTTAAATATAGTTTTATTTTATTAGATTCTAACATTATCATCTGTACTTTGTATTCTTTTTCGATTTCTATACGTATTTTGCGTTGGTTCTCACCAATTTCTCTTAGGTCTTTCATAGATTCTTATCATCCTGTTGTTCTTCCTTCCTAAGTGTCAACAATCTGATAAATGTACTAAAAAGTGAAATCTTGTCAATACCATAATATATGTTGGTAAACATGCTTAAGACAGTTTCCTTAACGAATCAGTATAATTGGCACTTTTTATTTTTAGATTTGTCATCCTCATAAAAAATTACACACCTGAAGTTTTTTTAAACTATTTTTAATGATATCCATATTACGATTTTGAATAAATATTTTCAGCCCTGTCTGAATTGGGCTGCTCCTACTTCTATTAAACAAGTTCTTGGCATCATTAATTTTATTATTTACTTTTCTTAAGACTGCGAATCTATTTTCAGAAATTTTCTATTTTGATTACAGTTTGGTGGTACACTTTTATAATAATGTTTTTTTTTTTCAGCTGGCATTAAACCCAACCAATGTCTACCAATAACGATAGACGTGGGTACCAATAACGAGGAACATCTTAAAGATCCGATATACCCAGGTATAAGAGAAAAAAGGCGTACTGGAAAAAAGTACGATGAACTAATCGATGAATTTATGCACGCAGTCGTGCAGAGATGGGGACAAAATTGTTTGATACAATTTGAAGATTTTGGCAACAAAAATGCATTTAGGTATAACAGTTCTTTTTTTTGCACTATAATCTTGGGTGGGGCCTTGCTATGTGGCTATTTTGTTTGATTCTCGTTTGCGTTTTCTACTCCAAAGTCTAAGAAATATTCAACCATCTGCTGAGTTGAGCAGAAGCTGGATTTAAGTTAGCTTCTTAAGTAATCTTTTTAATTATACGGAAATCTCATATTTGGTCTTCTACCAGTAGGTCCATTGCACTTCAAAGGCATTCGCTGATAGTCCAATTTACTGGCCTGTCCCAGATATGTCAATCTTTGTGTTTAACATGTAGTTGATATCTTGTCGGATTTTCGATGTTTATTTGATTTTGATTTCATTTCGTAGGCTTTTGGAAAAATACCGGGACACATTTTGTACGTTTAACGACGATATACAGGGTACTGCTAGTGTAGGAGTAGCCGGATTACTGGCAGCATTGAGGATAACAAAAAATAAATTATCCGATAATATCATATTATTTTATGGAGCAGGAGAGGCGAATATTGGTATCGCAAATTTGTGCGTAATGGCCATGGTAAGTATATGTAAAAAAGATCCATAATTTAGGCGTATAATTACTTTAGATAGGTATACATTTCTAGATTTCCGATGGTAAAATTTCCGAAGACACGGCACGAAAAAAGATTTGGATGGTAGATTCCAAAGGTTTGATTGTGAAGAGTAGACACGAGCTTGAACCGCAGAAAAAACCTTTCGCCCAAGAACACGAAAAAGAAACAGATCTGATACAAATTGTAAAGGATCTTAAACCGTCCATTTTGATCGGAGCTGCAGCGTGTCCGGGTGTCTTCACTTCGGGCGTATTAAAGCAAATGGCTGATAATTGCGCAAGACCGATCGTTTTTGCTTTAAGCAATCCTACCAGCAAGGCTGAGTGTACTCCAAAGGAGGCGTACGAAGAAACGAAGGTAAGTTTTTTAACAATTTTAATTGTCTAGAGAAGATAAGTGTCCGAGGAAGATGAGGGCCTGGGCAATATAAGTATGAAGGAAAAATAACTTTTTAGAGGAAGAAAAGTGTCTGGGGAAAGACAAGTGCCTGGGAAAAACAATTTAACAGATCTAATTTTGAGATAGAACTGGCAAAAAACAATTTTTCAACTATATGTATTGAACCTAGTTTAGCCAAGCATCAATTGGTACTTAAGTAAACTTAAGCTTAAGCTAATAATAGTACACCTAATAGTATATTTTCTCTGCTTTCTATTTTAACGTTTCAACTTTGGAACTATACACTGTGACATGCATACTGTGCTTTTCTTTTACCTAGCTCCACTTTTTTCTATCCAAAAGTCCTTCCTAACATTTTTCTTTCCCAAATCTCTTTTTAGATTTGAAACATTTTCTTAAAAGTCACATTTCATAATCAACCAATATATTTTGAGACCATTACCTTTGTTTTTATCCTACATTTCCAAGTTAGTGTATTACTTTTGGTTTCCTATTTAAGGGCAGCGTCATCTACGCCAGCGGCAGCCCTTTTCCTCCCGTCGAGTATAATGGCAAAACTTATGTAACTGGTCAGGGTAATAATGCCTATATATTTCCGGCTATGGGTTTGGCAGCAATGTGTGCTGGTATACAGTCCATAAGGTAAGACAAATATTCTGTGTAGATTTATAATTTTTTCTGTTCTACTTTCTTATATTGTTAAAATATTAAACCAGAAAGTATACAGAGGTCCAAAATAATGGACTATCAAGGATGACATATGAGAAAATATGTATAAGTTCTAATAAAATCCATGGAATTATATTTTTTATTAAGTTCAATGATCCTAAATATTGTGGTCACCTTGTACATGTACATTCTATACAGCCTAATATAAATTATTGTACAAGATGCGCTCTCTTTGGAGAAGCTATAAAGTAAATAACATTTTCTTCCACTTTGGTTCATCTATTTCGAGCAGTTCAATATTTCTTGCATGGCTCGATCGTCAATTCTTTGAAAGCCTAAGGGATCTAATTTAGCTGCCTACTTCCATTTTTGAAGTGACAAAAAGAAGAGAAATAATTCACAAAGGTGCTTACCATAATTATCTACATTTAACAACTTAAACAACAATTTAAAACAATTTAAAACAGTTTAAAACGATTTAAAACGATTTAAAACGATTTAAAACGATTTAAAACGATTTAAAACGATTTAAAACGATTTAAAACGATTTAAAACGATTTAAAACGATTTAAAACGATTTAAAACGATTTAAAACGATTGAAAACGATTTAAAACGATTTAAAACGATTTAAAACGATTTAAAACGATTTAAAACGATTTAAAACGATTTAAAACGATTTAAAACGATTTAAAACGATTTAAAACGATTTAAAACGATTTAAAACGATTTAAAGCGATTTAAAACGATTTAAAACGATTTAAAACGATTTAAAACGATTTAAAACGATTTAAAACGATTTAAAACGATTTAAAACGATTTAAAACGATTTAAAACGATTTAAAACGATTTAAAACGATTTAAAACGATTTAAAACGATTTAAAACGATTTACAACGATAAAGTAAAATAGGTATCAATAACTCGTGACATTTATTTATATTTAACATTTTGAAATAATATTTTTTGGTTGTATTATAGCGAAGACTACTTCTTAATAGCAGCTGAAGCTTTAGCAAGTCAGGTAAAAGAAAGTGATTTAGCTCAAGGCAGTATTTATCCACCAATTGATCGCCTTTTGGAATGTTCCACAAAAATTGCGATAAGGTATTTTTTTAAATAGTTTTTGAAATAAAATAGGAAAACTGTCATAATATGGCATTAACATATTACACCTGCTGTAAATCGTAAAGATTTAGATTAGAATATCATACTTGCTGCGTTTGTTTATCCATATCGGATACATTCGAGATGTGAATCATTGATCACGTGATTCTAGATACGTAAATGTAGTTGAAGCAGATGTGTCCGATGTGAATAAACTTACGCTCCAAAGGTAAAAATGCATGGGATGTGGAAATTTGAACGTAACATGCTTTATTAAGTTGTTTAATATTTTTTAAGGTTAGTGGAGTACGCTTACAGAAAAGTTTTTTATATTTTTTAAGGTTAGTGGAGTACGCTTACAGAAAAAAGGTAGCTAGTGTGATGCCGGAGCCTAATGATAAAGAAGCCTTTGTAAAAGCGCAAATGTACGATACCGATTACGAACCTGCAATTCCGATTTTTTATCAAATGCCTCTGGGCGAGACAGACAAAGACAAGAAAAAGAGTAAATGAAAATTATTTTCAATAAATGTCTTGTTAATTAAATCTGTTTTTTAATTTAATCTACAAAATAATTAAAGTTCCTACTCGGCATTCCTCAGGGATTCGTACTCGGGCTCAATTTTGTTTCTCTTACACATCAATGACGTGTTAGGTGAAAAGGTAACTTATAAACGGGGTTATTCGATTAACGTTTAGAATAGCTACTACTTTAGAAAGTTGTAGCTTAATGAATTTGGAAATGATCTCGATCCAAATTTTTGATTGTTATAGATAGCTGCTTTTTTCCGCACCATTTTGAGGTTACTTATTGAAGATTGATTACGAGATATATTTAATTTACACATTTACAAATTTACAAATCTCAGGAAAATAGGAAATAAATAATAAAATAGTTCCTGTTTTGTAGTAGTACAATCATATTTTAAAATTAACACTTCGGACAAGGATATCTCAAAAAGTTATTTTTTTAAAAAATTGAAATTTTGGCAAAATAGGCAATAATATCTAGAATATGCATAATTTTTAAAGTTTTAATTCCTTTCACTTTCTGAGAAAAAAATCAAAGGGCTTTAAATTTTGAATTATCATAATGAAAATAAATGCATTCAACAGCACTATTCTTAATATAATCCCGAAATTTGACCTCTTAATGTCTTGTTAATGATTTTTTAAAATTCGCCAAAATTAGTGGCTAAAACGCCTTGTTAAGTGCTGCCTTCTGTTGTAACGTGACTGTAACTATCGTATCGTACACATTCGTTTCCTGAAATTATTTACACCAGTTTATACCAGAAGATAGCACTTAACGAGGCGTTTTAGCCACTAATTTTGGCGAATTTTAAAAAATCATTAACAAGACATTAAGAGCTTAAATTCATGGATTATATTAAGAATAGTGCTGTTGAGGAATGCATTTATTTTCATCATGATATTTCAAAATTTTAAGCCATTTGATTTTTTTCTCGGAAACTGGACGGAATTAAAACATATTTTAGATATTATTGCCTAATTTATTTTGCCAAAATTAATTTTTTTTAAAAAATATCCTTGTTCGAAAATTATAAGGGGGTGCTGTAATCACCTTAACCAACTTTTTTATTCTGAGTTTACCAAAAAAGTCGCAGAATTCATTTCAATATTTATTACTTTATTTTCCTGGATTTAAAAAAAGTTATAGTGTATCAGCAGTTTAAATTAGTTTTATCAAAAAATCAGAAACCATGTATACAGGGTGATCAACTTATACTCTAGAGTTTGATATCTCCGTTGTTTTGAGGGATACGAACAAAATTTTTACATAAAAATTATAGATAGAGTCCAGCTCCACATTTTAAAATTATTTCATAATATACAGGGTGTTTCATAAAGTCACAGCATAAAGTTATGTTTTTTAAGAGAATATCGTATATGTTATCTCGAATTTGAATATTGCTTATTTTCCCCATTCCGACAATATAAGGTTTTATCAGGTTCTACAGGGTACTTTTAAAGAAATGGCCACTTTTATATTAAAACGATAATGGAATCGTCACCCTGTATTATTTAGAATTAACAATTGAGGGTTAATATCTCAATGCCAGAATAATTTCGTAATAATCTATAGTTTTGTTGCAACTCATCTTGTTTTTGATATCTTTCGTTTTGTATACAGGGTAACCCAAAACTCACGACCATGATTTTCTCGGTTATTTCAAATGGAACACCCCGTATCTTATATCATTTTTATATACCACTTATAAAATATTTTTACTTTTGTTAAGCATTCCTTATACCTAAATGTTTTTTCGATTTTTAATAATAAAACGATATTTTTGGTAAATACTGAAAGTTTCGTAGAGTTTGCAATTGACAGCTTAAAACACGTTAATTATAAACAATTTAAAAATAAAACTACAGTTTTTTTAACAAGACTATCATTAATACGAACAGCTATTAACTAAACAAAAAAAAATTGAAATAGTATTTAGAACAAAATAATTACAATTGCTCAAAATGACTTCCCATTATATTTAATACGATATTGAAATGACCTCTCCACAATTCTAGCCATTGGAATACTAATGATTTGGAAAACAACCCTAATTCTATTTTTCATGTCCTCGTAGTATTTTATATACCTCATTTTTCATATACAACCACAGAAAAAAATCAATTTTTGTTAGATCTGGCGATCTAGCTGGCCACTCAATTGGTCCTCCCCTACCTATCCGAAAAGTACATAATCAAAAAATCTCTTTGATCATGAATTTTTCTTTGTGCCTTATTACAAAAGTTTGTTCTTCGTCGAAAATCATAATCCAATAATTTCTGGTGTAACTGAATGTGATATGGGTGCATCTTATTCTTTGATAGTATTTCTTGCACACTTTCATAACATATTTCTTGTCCCCTGGAAATTACTCGTATACTTGTATTTGTATTATCTGTAACTGCTAATACCGTCAAACGGGGTTAAGTGAATCACAAAAAGCTGTTTTCCTCAGAATATTCCAAAACTACAAATATTAAAAATCTGCAAAAAATAACGTATGTTGTTTAGGACTTCCTTCTCACTATTAACCAATTTTTATATTTTTATGTTACTTAAAAGTGCCCAATTTTTTTTGGTAAAATGTGATTCACTTTTCCCCTTATTTTGGGGTAAAGTGAATCATGGTTTAAATCGGAAAAAAATCTCTTTGGCTTTCGGGGTAAAGTGAACCACTAAAAAAATAAATAAAATAAATAAACCTAATACAAAGAATAAAAACGTTTATTGAAAAATAGTAAAAACAAACAGCTTTTAATCATAAAGTAAAGAGGAAATTTACGAACTAAAAATATAATATTCGTCACTTATAACGGAAATTACCGAATGGTGATTCACTTAACCCCGTTTGACGGTAATACATTGAGTTCATTTTCCTCAGTAATAACGGTTTTCGTTTTTTCCTTTTTTTCATACGCTACATTACCTGTACGATTAAATCGATCTATGACTTTCTCGAAATTTATTTTTTCAGGTAATCGGCGCTCTGGGAATCTTTCATGATACACCCTTACTGCTAGCAAGCTATTTTTATGACATTCTCCTAGCATCCAGATCATATCGACTACTTCCTCATTGGAAAAATTCATCATTCGCCAATTCCAATTGTATACACAAACAACAAGAAGACCCGAATCAAAACTCAAATATTAATTGACAATTAGTTGACAAATATAACATTACTTAATACCTTCTGTCAAATACGGCAGTCATGGCCAACTATAAACTTTCAGTATTTGCCAAAAATATCGTTTTAGTAATAAACATTGAAAAAACTCTACGACTGTAACATTTAGGTATAGGGAATGCTTAACAAAAGTAAAAGTATTTTGTAAGTAATTTATGAAAATTATATAAGATATAGGGTGTTCCATTTGAAATACCCGAAAAAATCATGGTCGTGAGTTTTGGGTTACCCTGTATACAAAATGAAAGACATCAAAAACATGATGAGTTGCAAAAAAATAGACTACTACGAAATTATTCTGGCCTTAAAATATTAAACATTAATTGTTGATTCTAAATAATACAGGGTGATGATTTCATTAAGATTTTCACATAAAAGTGGCCATTTCTCTAAAAGTACCCTGTAGAACTTGATAAAACCCTATATTTTCGGAAAGGGGAAAATGAGCAAAATTCAAATTCTAGATAACATATAGGGTGTTCCACTAAAAAAAATATAACTTTGGTATGCTGTGACTTTATGAAACATCCTGTATATTACGAAATAATTTTAAAATATGGAGCTGCACTCTATCTATAATTTGTATTTAAAACTTTTTTTCGTATCCCTCAAAACAACGGAGATATCAAACTCCAGAGTATAAGATGATCACCACCCTGTATAGGTACATTATTTTATACTGTTATTACAACTTAATGAAATAATTTTCTAAATGATCACGTTTTAATTAGCTTTGTTAAGTACGCTAATGTTGAATTTTTATTGAAATGCAATGTTAAATGTTATAATCTTAGTTTTAAACTATTCACCCTGTATATTTATATTAAATAAAGATGATGTGAAATGTTGTAAGTGATAAATGTGCGCTTATTCATTATTTTATTGACTGTTCTAAGACTACTGTGGTTCTAAGAGTGATTTTTCAATATATCACAAAATTAAATTTTAAATATGGATTGATTAGTGAATATTGTGAGTATGAGAAATGAAATGCAATAAAAATAGTTTTTAGCGCTAAAATAATTAAATTAAACGCATGCACATACACTCAGAAAAAACATTTCTTAAATCAAAATGGTGGAAAGAGTATTTAAAAGCGACATTCATGATGTGTCAGAATGGAGTGTAGTGATGTGTCATGTGTGTATACATTATACATACGTGTGATGATCGATTATTGCAAAAAATAAAACGACTGAAACTATCCTAAGGGTATCTAAAATGGACTTTTATTTATTGTCGAAATACAAACTCAAAAAAATATATATCTTTCTAAAATATAGGATTTCAAACACTAACACTACGTGCACGGTGTTCAGGTAATAATTTTTTACTTATTTATAAAAAATAAAATTAAAATATTTTTTAAAATACCCGTTTTGTGTCGGTTTATAGTGTAATACAAATAACTACCATTCGAATAAATTATTATTCATTGTGCTATTAGGTGTGCAACGAACTTTTATTTTTCATAAAAATTGTTTTCTGGCCATTCACATTTTTACAAAGAAATTATGTGTAAATTATTAAAGATAAAAATGTCAACGTCAATTCAGAGAAAAATTAAAGTTAGACGATGATGTGATTTTCCAATTATATTTTGAATCACTAACATTAATCAGTATCAGTTTACCAAGAATATAATAATTAAATAACAGTTCGTGAAATATCTCCCAACTCTATTTGACATTCATTATTGACAATTCTGTCTTTAAGGATTTACATGTGGGTAAATTTAAGGATGATTGGTGAATAAACGAGTACTGCATAGTGTCAGTGATGCCAACTTTAATA